CCAGAAGGTCTTCCACTATGCCCCTAGGATGCACTACAGATCGGTCAGCTAATTGAAGGCTCATCCTAGTAGCACGGGGTTCACCTAGGCCTAGTTTCTTAAACAGTTTATATGGCATAACATTGATACTAGCACCTAAATCCGCCAAGAACCTCTCTACATGCAAATTATCTATAGAGCACGGGATAGTAAAACTACCTGGGTCCTTCTGCTTCTGCGGAAGCTTGTTCTGCAGAATGGCCGAGCGCTCCTCGCTGAGCTCAACAGTGGCCAGCTCGCTCAGCTTCTGCTTCTTTGAGAGAAGATCCTTCAGGAACTTCGCATACTTAGGCATTTGAGATAGTGCCTCCAGGAAAGGTACTTGGACATTCAGCTTCCTAAGCATTGCCATGAAGCTCTCGAACTCTGCCTTCAGCCTGTCTTTGTGCAACCGAGCAGGGAAGGGGAGTTGAGGGATATACTCCTTCACTACTGGTTGCAGTTTAGGTGCAGGCACCTCAACCTCCTTCTCTGCTTCTTCTTCAGCTGTTGGAGATGCCGGGGCAGGGGCATCTCTCTCTTGTGCCCGAGCAGGTGGATCAACAGTCATCTTGCCACTCCTGGTTATGATGGCATTGCAGTGCTCATTCGGGTTCTGAGGGTGAGGGATGGTCTGACCGGGCAAAGAACCAGGAGCCCTTTGCGCCACTGCTTGAGCCACACTCCCCAGCTGGGTTTGGATATCCTGCAAGACAGCCTGTGTGTTCCTCTGGCCAGCTTCAAGAGCTTGGAATTTACCCGATGCCTTTTCCATGAACTGCTCTATAGTGTTGAATTTCTGAGCACTAGAACTGGCGAGAGAACCCACCAAGTCCCGCAATTCAGCCATCGAATCATTCTGCACTGGGGCGGCAGGGGCTGCAACTGGCTGCTGGAAAGGTCGCGGCTGTGATGGAGCAGCATGCCCCTGCATGGGCTGGTAGAGAGACTGCTGCTGCTGCTTGCCCCTGTCTGGGCTGATATGGTGGCCTCTGGAAGCCCGGTGGTCCCTGGTGGACTGGGATTTGCCCCACCCCAGGAGAAGTTGGGATGCTGGCGCCACCCCTCATTGTAGGTGTTACTATAGGGGTCATTGCGCCTGACATTGTTGATGAAGTTCACCTGCTCCTGGGGTGTGGTCGATTCCTTCATCGCCTGGCAGTCTTCCACTGTATGATGGGTGCTCTCGCACCACTGGCAAAGCATCGCCTGCTGCTGTCCGGTACCTGCAATCATCCCGGAATGATCGATAGCTGAAACCAGCTTTGATACCACCTGCACCAAATTAGAGGAATGGTTTCCCACAGAATGTACACCTCGGCCTGGTGCTCTCCTCGACTTCCTAGCAGTGCCCCAATCATACCCGTTCTCTGCCATCTCCTCAAAGAGTTGATTCAGCTGTGGCGGTGTTTTGGTCAGCATGTTCCCGCCACAAACTGAGTCAATCAACTGCTTGTCTTCTGGGAAGAGGGCATGATAGAAGGTTCCCACCTTGAAAGCATCGTTGAAACCATGATTGGGACACCTCAGGAAGAGACTGTTGTATCTCTCCCAAGCATCCCGGATGGTCTCATCTTCATCCTGGGTGAAGTGGAGTTGAATAGGTGACCTCATGTCTGTAGCCCTGGCGGTCCAGTAATGACCCATGGTCTGCTCCCCAGGATTGACCACATCTTGGTCCTGTGGATCAGCCATCTCCTCTTCTTCAGTGATCTGTAGCTGTGCTAGCGCCTCTTCCGCAGCCAGTCGCGCCTTTAGAGCCCGCTTGAAGTTCCTGCAGGTCCGTTCAAGCTCCTGGTCTAATGGTAGTAGATCTCCCGACTGGCTACGGGTCATGCACTACCTGCACACAATCAGCAGAAGCAACCCGTGAAGGCACACAGGTGGAAGAGATAAAATGCACTAAATAAAAAGCTAGAGTAACAGATTTTCACGTTTCCCCAATAACCTAGAGGGTTCCCCGGCAACGGCGCCAAAAACTTGATGCTCTAAAACATAACACCAAACTGCGACCAAGTATAATCGCAGTCCGGGAATGCAGTAAAGTAGCAAGTTATATTATCAACCCGGGGTCTAGATCTACTGCTTACTCAGTGATTCTCTATTATCTAGCCAACTAAGTTAAGTGTTTGTTGTTTAAAAGCAAAAGCAGAAAGAAAGCAGGAATTGGTACGGTTTTCTCAAGCAGGTAAGAGTCACTCGGGAATGAGTCCCCCTAGCTCCTTAGTTAGGTTTCAATTGTATTTCCCTGGGTTGATTCACTGTTGATTAGACTGCGGAAGATACGACAGTAGCTTGGAATCTCTTAAGCTGACCAAGCCCTCTCAGTCTAACTACCCGGCAGACGACTAGTCTTCACCGGGATAGAAAGCTGAAGCAGTAAGAACAGAACTCCACTACTGGAATTGGATTCCAGTACAAAGCAGTAAACTGGCTAACTCTCGTATAGCCAATCTCCTACTACCGAATGATGAGACTCTAGCAACCTAATCAGATTCTATCTATCTCAGATTGCAGCAGGAATCAGGAAAAGTTGATCAGACTTCAATTGACTCAATAAACATGCATCATTCGATTAAAATCAAACAGTAATATCATCCCAAGTCATTACAATCAATCCCTAACACATAGAACTAGGGTTCTTCATCCCCAAGTGAGAGAGGGGTTCTACTCCATAGAGAGAGAGGAAAACAAGATACAAAGCAGTCATACTCATAACTATGGGAAGAATCTACTCTGGGATGATGATTTCCATTCCTATGACGATCTCCAAGCTTGATTTGATGAAATCCAGCTCCAAGATAGCTTCTAGGATGTGTTCTTCGTCCTTTCTCTCTCTAGGGCTCTGTTTTTGCTCAAAAAGTCCGATTCTCCCTCTTGCAGCCCGAAATTGGGTTAAAACCAGGAATTCCCGACTCACACGGGCAGAGCCACACGGCCGTGTGGCATACCCAGTTGCCCGCGTGACTTCAAAACGCTGCGTATCGATTAATTTCACTTCAGTCAACCTACACGGCCAGGGTCACACGGCCGTGTGGATCACCCTGCCTGGCCGTGTGAAGCCTCGCAGTATTCCACACGGCCAAACCACTCCTTCACACGGCCGTGTGGATATCAGGGCAAGCCGTGTGAAGGCTCGCACAATCTCACACGGCCAAAGTGGTCACTTGCACGACCGTGTGAGTTGTGGGTGTGCCCGTGTGGCTTCCTTTTCGACTTGCCTCGTGCCCGATCTTCGTCCAATCGACCCCGAACTCGGTCCTAAACCTTCATTCACTTGCTAGGACCTGAAATATCACAAACAAACACAACCTAGCGTGAAATCGGCCTAAAACACGAGAATTACCATCCCAAACGGCTCCAGAACAGGGGTAAAAACATGTGCAATTAACGGCTTATCAATTATATAAATTGCGAATTGTTGCATTAACCGGAAAATTTTCATCATCAATGATAATGTGATTTTATATTGGTTAATCTGGTTAACCAATTAACCAAATCGATTAAACTTTAGTTTGATTAATTTGGTTGTTGTATTAGTTTGGACGGTTGGTTATGATATTGTATTCCATGGTTAATGGAATTTAGCCTTATTTGGTTTGGTTATAACCATGATAACCATTTGAACACCCCTAACTGGAACCTGTAGATAAGAAGTGTCTAATTTTGTGCCTCATTACTTTGATAGAGTCTATTAGTATATTGGAAGTAACTCTAATTTTGTCATTTGCTCTTAAGTTTTGATGGTCTCCTTTTGGTTGAGTTGTTAGCATATTTACTTGAAGGGTTAATATTTTCGTATGGCCTGAACTTTGACCAAAATAAACATCTTGGCCAATCTTTTCGATCTATAACATTCTAGCCCGAACTATACACCAAAATAAACAATTTGGCCAAACCCGATGTTTGACCGTTAACTTGGACGGTCAAATGCATTGACTAACGGTCAACGCGCCATGTCACTGCCAAGTCAGAAGATCTGATAAATATTTAATTTTTTTCGTTTTTTACTTTTGGTTTAACTAAGGTATTAGATGATTTTTTTAATTTATAATAATTTAAAATTAGGGAACGTGTGGAAATTGTGAATTATTTTAAATATTTATGCTGACTTGGCAGTGACATGGCGCGTTGACTAACAGTCAACGGGTTTGACCGTCCAAGTTAACGGTCAAAAGTCGGATCTGGCCAAATTGTTTATTTTGGTGTATAGTTCGGGCCAGGATGTTATAGATCGAAAAGATTGGCCAGGATGTATTTTGGTCAAATTTCAGGCCATACGAAAATATTAATCCTTACTTGAATCAACAACTCTTCATTTCTATTTTTTTTATAAATCCATTTCTTTTTTGTTAGTGACATGTTATTCATAGAGGAGAGCTTTGAACCATTTATGTGGGATTGTGAGGTTTCATTTCAGTTTCAAACTATCTATGGATCGTGTGGGAATTCCAAAGAGCTTTTATATTATATATTTCTGGACAATCTATTAACCAATATCATTTTAATGGGGGCTCAATTATCATTATGAATATGAGATTAATGATACATTTTTATATTCTTAAATGAGGAGGGTATTTCCCTGAATGTTCGACTTATATATTCATTCTTTATGTAGCATCTCGATTGAATGATTTTCAGTAAACTTAAACATAACATAAAAATATAAATATTAAAATATGAACATAAATATAAATATTAAAATATGAACGTTCCGGCCAACAGGCCGGTTATAAGCTAGTTTATGAAATGTACATTTCAATGTTTGGTGCGGCAAAAAGGCATCAGACGTTTTTTGTGGAACACAGAAAAAGGCTTCAAGCTTTGTTAATTAACCTAAGAAGGGTCAGGATATACACGTCCCGGGTTATTAAACAAACCAAAGAAAATCTACAAAGAGTAAAAGGCTGGAGGGTTTCCGAAAAGTTCGGAGAGAGGAAATTTCTCCCTTGCGAGCAGTAGGGTTTCCGAGCTAGCGTTCCATGCCGGCGGTGCCTACACCGCTGGCCGGGGGCGGCCACGATGTTATTATGCATGAAGACACGGTGACCGGACAAAGGCGACCCCCGACCGAGACCTCCTCGCCAAACCCTAAGGGCAAACGAGAGGCGCAGCAGTCCAAGAAAAGGGTGAAACAAACGGTTCCGATACCAGGTGAATCCAGTCAGGCAGGGGGATCGGCGGAGAAGGTTGGAGCTGATAGGCAACAAACGATACCCCCGGCCGGTACCAAAACCCCGGCATGGGGGGATGGGAAAGGGGCGGCGAGACGGCTTTTCAGCGAGGCGCCTCGGTCTGAGATGTGGTACATTGCAGATTCGGACTCTGAAGATGTGATGGCCAGCATACGTGAGGATGGTTTGGAGCATGATGGCGAAGGCGAGGGTGATCCTAAGTGCCCGGCTATTCATTACACCGCGGCGGAAGAGAGAATGTTCTGTCGTCAATGGAGATCAGCCCTTGTGGTGAAGGCGCTAGGGCGAACAGTCTCATACACGATGATGCTGAAGCGTTTGCAGAGCATTTGGGAGAAGGCGGGATCGATTCAAGTAACGTCGGTTAAAAAAGGCTACTTCCTCGTTCGTTTCACGAGTGGGATAGACTATGAGAGAGCTTTAACAGGTGGACCGTGGCTAGTGGGTGATAACTACTTAACCGTACACCCATGGACGAAGGACTTTAATCCATACGAACATGAGATTTCGTCGACCCTTGTTTGGGCTAGACTGTTGGAGCTGCCGATCCACTATTTCCACCCGGTGGCGGTAATGAGGATTGGAGAACGTATAGGGAAACCCATGCGGGTAGACCATGCAACACTGTCGGGGGCGCGAAGCGACTACGCCCGAGTTTGCGTCCAAGTTGATTTAACTCGACCTTTGTTATCCCAATTTACTATCCACGGGAAGAAGTACTTCATTCAATATGAGGGGCTTGACAAAATATGTTTGCAGTGTGGTACGTATTTCGAGTGCATTCGGTGCTCTTGCATGGGGAGGAATGAGGAAATGGAGGTGGAGGAACCCGCTGCTACCCCTACAAGGACTGAGCCTAAGCAACCAGATACAGTGTATGGGGAGTGGATGATCGCTAAGAAGAAGCGAGGTCTCGCAGGCCGACCTCAGAGCCGGAAAGGGGACGCCAAGAAAAGCGGAGAGATCAGGTACAAGAGAGGGAAAGACAAAATGGGTCTCGATTTAATGTACAGGAGGTGGAAGAGATAGGGGGTGAGGGGGTGCTTCGACGGAAATACGACCCATGCATTCTGCTGAAGAACGGGATAAAAATAAAGGAAAATCTAACGAGAGGGAGAAAGAGAAGGAGGCTGTGAACCTGACCAACTGTGAGCAGTCCAAATCCAATACAAAAGTGGACCCGCCGGTGGATCAACCACCCTCGGACCCCCAGTATTCCTCTCCCCGACCTAGTCCGATAGCACAAACGGTAACAAATCACGTTAGCACCATATCCCCACCAAGCCAGGGTAGCAATGCCATGTGGATGGGGCTGGGCCAAGGTGACATGGGGAAGCTTAGCAAAGGGATCGGTGGTAACAAACAAGAGAAGCCACCGGATCCCAGAGTTCCGAACATTCCAAGAGGGGACATACCAACGAGGACGGATGGCCAACAAGGGAAAGTATTAAGCGACGGTAATGGGAAGGTAGGAGGGGGCCTCAATGAGGAGGCTACCTCACTTTCAGTGTCCAAGAGAATGCTGAGGTTCCCTATTATTCTGTGTTATCAATGATAAAGATCTTTACATGGAATTGTAGGGGGGCGGGGAGCAAAAGCTTCCTGCGAGTGTTCAGGGAGTATCGTAGGCGTTATCAACCAAATATAGTTACTCTGGTGGAACCGAAAATCAGTGGAAATAGAGCGGAAGAGGTTATTCGAGATCTCGGATATGACAAGCACATTGTGGTAGAGGCAGTAGGCAGGTCGGGTGGAATTTGGCTACTCTGGGACTCCGGGGTGGCATCGATTACTGAGGTTGACAGAGGGGACCAGTTTCTTCACGTTAGAGTTCAAAGCGGCCAAGAGCAATGGATGCTGACGGCTATCTACGCTAACCCAGCGCTCATCCAGCGTCGGGAGCTTTGGGAGGCTATTCGTACGATGGCGGATGAGGTAACGGAGCCTTGGATCTTGTCGAGAGATTTCAACTCCATTCTACAGCCGAATGACAAGCAGGGCGGTGCACCCTTTAATGCGGCGCGGGCACGTGATTTCCAAAATTGTGTCTTGGATGCTGGTTTGCTCGATCTGGGGTTCACGGGGCCTCCTTACACGTGGTTCAGGACAGGTATTAAGGAGAGGCTCGACAGGGCTTTGGCGAATGCTGCTTGGAATGCCATGTTCCCGGATACAGTGATTAATCACCTTCCTAGACTGAGAAGCGACCATCGCCCAATCCTTGCTACTTTGAACCCCATGTTCCAGCCAGCTGGCCCAAAACCTTTCAAATTCCTGGCGGCGTGGCTGGTGCATGAGGGCTTTCACGAGATGGCTACGGGAGCATGGGAGCGGGGGACGGACCTTCTCAACTCTATAGCAGAGTTTACGGCGGATGCAAAAAATTGGAACCATAATGTTTTCGGGAATATATTCAGGAAGAAGAATGCTATTCTGCGACGGATAGAGAGACTGGAGGTGCAGGGTGGGGGTGACTCGGATGATCCGAGACTCGGTCTAGCTCGATCCGAGCTCGAAGATATCCTCCTACAGGAAGAATTACTCTGGTACCAAAAATCGCGGTCGACTTGGATTGTGTCAGGGGATAGCAACACTAAGTACTTCCACTTAAGAACCATGAGCCGGAGGCGGAGAAACAGAGTGGCGGCGTTGAGGAATAATAATGGGGAATGGGTGACGGAACAGACTTCCCTGTTGGATATGGCAAGGGAATTTTATGAGGATTTATACACTGATGAAAATGGTGCTAGTGTCGTGTTGCAGGCCTGTTTTGACGAGGTCCCGCCGGAGTTGTGGCTACCCTTAGCACGACAGTTTTCAATGGAGGAGATTCCGGGTGCGGTGAAGGCGATGGGCGCGCTTAAGGCGCCAGGCAAAGACGGGCTTAATCCGTTGTTCTACCAGCGGAAGTGGGAGTTGGTGGGCCCTGCGGTACTGCAGTTTATCCAAGCTTGCTGGTCCCAGCCTTTGCGAGTGAAGGATCTTAATGATACAATCGTGGTACTCATCCCGAAGGTTGCAAAACCAGCTACAATCGATCAATTCCGCCCGATCAGCCTCTGCAACGTTACATACAAGATGCTTACGAAGTGCTTGGCGGAGAGAATCAAGCCAATCATGCCTCGGCTGGTGCATGAAACTCAAACGAGTTTTGTTCCCGGTAGACATATAACGGATAATATTTGCATTTTGCAGGAAGTGGTTCATTCGATGAGGGATAAGAAAGGGAAGACGGGATGGATGGTCCTTAAAATTGATCTAGCCAAGGCGTATGACAGGATCAAGTGGAGTTTTGTTTGTGACACTTTGCAGGCAGCAGGCGTGCCACAGAGTTTTATTGACTTAACAATGAGCTGCATTTCCACACCGACTATGCAGATACAGTGGAACGGTGGATTGACTGAGCCTTTCGAACCATCTCGAGGATTACGCCAAGGCTGTCCTCTCTCTCCGTATATCTTTACCCTTTGTATGGAACGGCTTGGCCACCTCATATCGACGGCTGTAGAGAGAGGGGATTGGAAGCCTGTGAAGCTGTCGAGCCGCGGACCGACTCTCTCACACTTATTTTTCGCTGACGATCTCATACTTTTCAGTGTTGCCTCCCTCGAGCAGGTCCAGGTTATCCTTCAGTGTCTGGCAGAATTTGGGGCAGCATCAGGGCAACAAGTTAGCAGGCCCAAGTCAAGAGTTTTTTTCTCGCGAAATGTCAACTTGGCGGAGGGAGGAGTAATTAGCAATGCTTTGAACATCCCGGAGATGAAAAATCTAGGGCGATACTTGGGTGTCCCGGTGATCCATGACAGGGTCTCCAAAGCAACATTCACAGAGCTCATTGATCGGATAGATGCAAGGCTGGCTGGTTGGAAAGTCAAGACACTGTCTCTGGCAGGGAGGATCACGTTAGCACAGTCAGTTCTGTCATCGCTCCCAGCTTACACGATGCAGACTTCGTTCTTTCCTGCCTCCGTACGTGAGTATATTGATAGGAAGATAAGAGGGTTTATCTGGGGGAGCTCCGAGCAAGGATGCAAGATCCATCTGGTGGATTGGGAGACCGTCTGTAAGCCGAAAGACCAGGGTGGGCTGGGCATGCGAAATGCAACTCATATGAATGAGGCTTTCATGATGAAGATAGCTTGGCGGCTTATGACGGAAGCTGATTCCTTAAGGGCGAGAGTTGTGCGAAGCAAGTACCTGAAGAAGACCGATGATGGGTGGCTGCCCCGAACGACGGGTCGGATGTCTAATCTGTGGAAGGGAGTGCTACGGATCCTTCACCTTATTCCTCAAGGGACGATGTGGAATGTCAAGAGTGGAGGGCAGACGAGATTCTGGGAGGATTGTTGGTTGCAGGACGGGCCACCTCTAGCTGATTTTGCCATTGGTTTGCCTGATGAGGCGAGGAGGCTCACTGTAGCCGAGTTGGTACTGAATGGAGAGTGGAATCTGCAGTACGTGCGAGCGTTTCTCCCGAAGCACTTGTTCTGCAATTGGCCCTACACCCGGTGCCGACAGAGGGAGACCCGGACGTCCCAATCTGGAGATTGTCACCCTCGGGCCGTTTCACTGTTAAATCCGCATACGAGCTTCTGAGAGCGGAGGAGGAGGTTGGCCAGTCTCACCCGGTTTGGCGGCGTGCGTGGCGAATAGAGGGACCCCAGAGAACTCGCTCCTTTTTTGGCTGGTGCTACAAGGTAAGTTACTTACTAATGGCGAGAGGTGCAGGAGACATATTGCTCAGACGGACACTTGCCCGGTTTGCGGTGGCGGCCCGGAGACGATTTTGCATGTAATAAGGGACTGTTCGTACGCCCGGGCGGTATGGTCGGAAGTACTTGAGGATGAGCCTGATGGGAACTTCTTCGAAGAAGATAGCACAAAATGGATACATTATTATCTGGCGGGCAAGAGCAAAGTGATCGATGCTTCCTTATTTGCAATTCTCTGCTGGAAGCTATGGAAGAACCGCAATGTTTGGGTGTTTGAAAAATGTTTGGAGCCTCCCTGGATGCTTGCCCGCCAAGCAGTGGAGCTGAAGCATCAGTGCCACCTAGCTTTTGTTAAAACTCAACAGGCCGTGGGCGATGGAAGGGACAAGACCGAAGACATGATTGGCTGGGAAAAGCCTCCTCCTGGTTGGACTGCTTTGAATACAGATGATTCCGTAATTCTATCCGCGGGAAGTGCCACGGCAGGTGGGGTGCTTCGGGACAGTGACGGCAGGCTCTTGAGAGCCTTCTCAGAAAATTTGGGAGATCATTCAATCACGCACGCAGAGTTGGCCGGGATATATCATGGTCTGTGTATTGCTTGGGAATCGGGAGTCCGGAAAGTGCGTATCCAGACTGACTCGAGGACGGCTTTAGCTATCATTCAGTCGGAAAGGGAGAGCCACCCCCACCGTACATTGGCAAATGCTATAAGAGAACTGTTGAGACGGGAATGGGAGACCACGCTGGAGCATGTTTACCGGGAAGGGAACTATGTTGCTGAATTTTTGGCGAATGATGGGCACTCTTTGAATCAGGGGCTGCATGTCTTGGATAACCCGGGACCGAGTCTGAGACACTGGCTATTGTTTGACTCTATTGGCGTTCAAACGCCTCGTATTATTAATATTTAAGGGTTAGAGCGCCCCATGCGCTCTGTTTTCTACCAAAAAAAAAAAAAAAGAAGGGTCAGGATATAGGAGAACAAAATATGTAAATTAGTATGAACAGTTTAAAGGAAAAACTACGTGGAATAATTATCGACAAAATACGTGGAAGATAAATCTAACCACATGTTTAAAAATCGGGTTGGTTACTTAGTTATTACGGTTTCAGAAAATATGCGGTTAATCCCGCCACCAAAAACGGGGAAAAAACGCACAATTCCGAAAATGACGGGGAAGCCTTCAAGGCTTACGTGTACAAGGTGTATTTCTCAAAGCGCTTTAATATTTTATAGGGTTAATTGCATGGTTGGTAACTGAGATTACAAAAAAGTTTAAATTTGGTCACTTGAAATATTTAAATCCACTGGTGGTACTTCAGTTTACTGAAATCGTTCATGTTTAGTCACTCTCCGTCCAATTCCGTTAACTTTTGCTTACGTGGCAGTCAACTCTAAAAATTGACCGTTAAATGTGTGACGTGGCAATTAAAAATTAATTAAATAAATAAAAATTAATTTATTAAAATTTACACCTCATTTCTAACTATTAAAAAAATAAAAATAAAAATATTAAATTAAGAACCACCACCCAGGGGTGGGCAACGGGAAACAGGTATTTGGGTATACCCGTACCCGTTCCATTTTTTGAGGGTTACGGGTACCCGTATTACCCGTAATATTATTAACGAATGCGACTTGGGATTGTACATTCCTCCAACGGGTACCCGCGGGTTACCCGCAAATACTCGTTTGGGTAATATGAGTACCTGTTATACCCATTCAAAATACAAAGGATACAAATGCAGAAAGCCCGTCTTTCTCGACAAAGTTCATACGCTAATATTGGTGGGTAGTTAACATGTGACATTTCTTCTGCATCACCACCATTATATACACATGCTCTGTTAGGCTTTGTATCAAACACCCTGACTGCGGTTTTCATTGTCCTGCCAATCCCGATCCATTCTTGATCACAATCAACCCAAAAAAATGAAGAGCACACTGAAAACCAAGAAATTCCAACCTGGAGAGAGGAGAGGTGACGAATAATTGAATTTTTCCAAGGATCCCAGATGAAACCACGTAATTCCTCAAATCTTGAACATTGTGGACGCCTGCAACATCAAAGCGCTATGATCCTTGGCTCCTGCAACATTGTGGATGCCTTGCGCATGCCACACCTACACGAAAACCCAGATAGGGGATGCCATTGTAAACTACACGAACGTTGCAAATAGGGGAACAAATATTTGTTAAAATTTTAGTGTTTCAAAATTTGGGTATTTACGGGTAGTACGGGTACCCGTTATCCGCCCCGTACGGGTAATGGGTACCCGTTTACCCATACGGGTTTGGTACATGGGATGGACTTTGGTCTCCAAACGGGACCGGGTACCCGTTTCAAACGGGACGGGTATCCCGTCCCGTTGCCCACCCCTACCACCACCTCATTCTTCATCCTACGGCGGTGGCGGCTCGTCTCACAACCCTTAGTTCGCCCTCCCTCCCTCCGCCACGGGAGACCACCTCCAGCAGCCTGACGAAGAACGCGGCGAGTTCAGTGACAGCGGCAAGAGGAACTTGGAGGACACAATCGAACTCGCCAAACAGAAAGCTCAAGAAATCGCCGCTCGACTTATTAGTGACGCTCAAATAGTTTCCTCAACCAACCTCACCACTTTATCCATGGTGGGACGCATCTTGGGACCTTCGCCACGCAAACCAGCGCAATCTGCATCATCTACACCATATCCTTCTCCACGCTCTGGCTGCTCACCAGCTCCGCATCGAAAACCTCCGTCGTCCACTCCTCCTTCACCACCGACCTCACCCATCTCGGCAGATCCACCACCTCATTGTACGCACCACTGCTGCCGGGGGGACCTCTCATCGGCGCTTTCCCCGTCAGGGCTTCCAGCGGCAGGACGCGGAAGCCGTAGACGTCTGATTTCTGGCTGGGTTTCCGGGTCTCGATCACTTCGGGAGCTCTGTACCCCATGGTTCGAGACATTGTGGCCTGGAAGTTCATCAGCGGAGCTAGACCCATGTCGGAGATGCGGCGTCGAGGTCGGCGGTGAGGAGGACGTTGGAGGATTTGATGTTTCCGTGGACGGATTTGGCCCCACCGGCGGTGGAGGTGGAGGTTGTGCCGTCAAATTGGGAGTGAATGTGGGTGATTCCCCTCGCCGCTCCGATGATTATCTTCATTCTTGCTTCCCAACCTAATAGTGTTCTGCTTCCTTCTCCGATTCCCCTGTTTCCTGTCCCCAATTTAATGTTCTAGAGTTGACTAAACCCTAATTCGATTATGTTAAGGGTAGAGCAAAACCCTAATTTTGTCAATTGAATGTCGAATTGTCAGTTGACTTGAACCTCCCCTGTTCCCTTCTTAATTTAATAATTTTTATTTTTATTTTTTAATAGTTAGAAATGAGATGGAAATTTAAAAAATTAAATTTTATTTATTTAATTATTTGTTAATTGCCACATCACACATTTAATGGTAAACTTTTAGAGTTGACTGCCACGTAAGCAAAACTTAACGGAGTTGGACGAAGAGTGACCAAACGTGAATGGTTTTAGTAAACTGAAGTACCACCAATAGATTTATATTTTTCGAGTGACCAAACTTGAACGTTTTTTGCAATCACAATGACCAACCATGCAATTAACCCATATTTTATAAGAGATAAGAAATAAATTGAGCTTTTGCAGGTTTGGACATGTTTTTGTAGGTTTGGACATCCACTTTGCTGGTGATGCCGCTATGTCTCGTGTGAAGGAGATTTTTGTATTTTTTCATTTTATTCTTGTAATTATATAGAGCCGCCCATTTAGGGGCATATAAGGCTCTTTCATCGATACTTCGACTAGTTATCGACTGTCGAGTTTAGTTATCTCGCATCCTGTAATATCTATTATTTACCCTATCTATGAACAAAAAAACGACGAAAAAATGTAGCATCTGGTTTCTTTGTTTTGGATGACACACCCTAAAATCACATCAAAATCAAATAGGAACGAAATGGGGATGCTATTCACTGTCAAAGCAATTATGCATAGGAATTGGAATAAAACAAACCTTAATATAAATGGTACATAACACCGATTTAGGTGTTATCAAACTTCCACACACTTAGGCGTTTACTTGTCCCAAAGCAAACCTACTAAACCTAATGCAACATGATAGACAGATTAATGATGAATTCACTCTAGTCACTACAACAAATTCGGCCTATTATGACGAGGCCATTTTGTCATATTAGATACCCATTTTGTCATATTAGGTATAATATGACAAAAGGTGTTGTCATTTTATCGTCGTCTGGATAGGTCAAATGTGACAAAAGTTTAAAACAAGGTTGTCACTTTTGCTTTCAGTATAGCTGAGGTTCTGGGTAATCTATTGTGACAAACAGAGATGTTATGACGATATAGTTTGTCATTATTTTTCATAATTTTCTTATTTTGACAGAATTGTTCGTCATATTACACCATTATATTTTGACATCACATTATTGTGAGGAACAATTTTTGTCATAAATGCATGTTGTGACGAATATATTTTGTCATAACTGGATATTAGGACGAACGTATTTAGTCATAATTGCATATCGTGACCAATATAATTTATTCATCAATATATTGAATAACATATAGTTGAAAAATCATTATTCTTGTAACATATAGAAAAAAATCCCAAACCCAGGAAATACAATGCTATCTAAAAAACCCCAAACCCAGAAAATAATTTCTTCCCCTGCCCCTACCGTTGTTGACAATACACTTTTCTTCCTCACTTTTGCCGCCCCGAAAACACATCCTTCTCCTGCCTGCTGTTGGAGCCGTCGCCTACAAACAAGAAACAAAAACAAACCAGAAAAGAAACCCCAAACCCAGAAAATGCAAAATCCATCATCTTCCAATCTCTTCTTCCTCATTTCCACGACCACTACAACAAATTTGGCCTATTGTGACGGTAGATTTTTGTCATATTAGAACTATGTTTTGTCCGATTAAGTATGTTATGACAAAAGTTGTTGTCACAACGTGTTGTCATTTAATATCCGCCAGGATAGGTCAAATGTGACAAAAATTTAAAATATATTTGTCACATTTACCTTATGATTTTGTGAGATATTCCTGTGTCATATAAATGGTAAAAAAGTGACGAATAATTTTGTCACCATAAGGGTGGGGTTTGTCACATTTGGAGTTTGGTTTATCAGTTTAGCTTACGTTCTAGTTAATCTATTGTGACGAACGAAGATTTTATGACGAAATATTTTGTCATTAATTTTGTCATAATTTGTCGATTTATTCAGAATTGTTATTCATATTACAAAATTATATTTTGTTATAAATGCTATTATGATGATTTCAGATTGTCGGGGAAGTTGTTGTATGTGCCTCTTGTCAAGTAATGTACAATAATGTGATGTATTGACTTCGTCGCCGGCGGAACCAGAGGCAATTGGCGACGACTCACTTGCTTCCCTCCTCATTTGAAACCAAAACAAAAACAACAAACTAAAGTCAAAACTCAAAATCATTCAAAAGAAAAAACAAATCCAACAAAAAACCAGACCTTCTAGGTTCCTCATGTTTCTCCGTCATCGGTGGCTACCTTTTTCCTCCACTGCGCTCCCCTATGTTGCTGACAGATTCCAGAGCCGGTGACCTTTTCCTCCCTTTTCTCTGAGACCAAAAACCTCGCCATCAATCCAAAAAAATAAGATTAAAAAAAATCAGAACCCTAAACTCAAACCTTAAAAATCTACATGCAATGGAAAAGATGGATCCCACCTATGTCACCATCTTTAAAATCGTCGTCGGCCTAGGCTGCCTCCATCCTCGCTGCCGCCTTTGTCTTCTTTTTCCCTCGACGTTTCCAGAAAGAAAGAGGTGAAGGAAAGGGATTTCCTCCCTGCTCGGGAGACAAAAGAAAGAGCAAAGAGAGGCGGATCGAGAGACAAAAGCGAGAGAAGGAAGAAGAAGGATCGAGTAGAAGAGGAGAGGGAAGATGCAATGCTGGATATCTGAATTTTTATAACTTTCCGGAGAGAAAATGCAGTATAACTTTCCAGATATTCAATCTTCATGCCTAGACTTGTTCCTTGAGCTTCAATGGTGAAGAATCCTCCAAAACAGCTCCACGAATGGCTCTAGATCGCCCTCTTTCTCTTTAGTTCGTCCCTTGGGTGTTTGGGATCCAAAACCCAGCTCTCTCCCTCCAAAACCATACAAAAAGGCTTTTATACCCGCTTCTGGAAGTTCCCAGGTCACATTACCCAGTCAGGTAATTTTACTTGGTGACCAGGGATCTTCAAAATGCTCTGGGTCACTTTTCTTCGCAAATGGAGAAATACACTGTCGAGTATTTACACCTCTTGACCGAGGGTATTTTGATTAAAAAATACCCTATCAGGTATTTTGAAACTATTGACCGGGTATTTATATAATTCTGGGTCCCCTGTCTTTGATTCTTTGTATCTCCGTCGTTCAAACTCCAAATCAGGTGTCGTTTGATCCTAGACGCTCGTACTCTCATCCTCTTTATTTTTATGAAAAGATTACATGATTATATGGTAAAAAAAAAGTATAAATCCATTCTTCTTCAGGTCATGCCCGAATTTCTTCCCCCGAGTCGCCAATTGATTTCCGATTTACTTGAAACTTGTGCCTATGCTTCTCTTTATGTGCTAGGACTTGAAATGTGACAAAGGAACATAACCTAGCGCAAAATAGGCCAAAGTATGATAAATACCAAGCTAAACAATCAAGAAACGAGGGTGAAAACATGTGCAAATTCAGTGTTATCAAATTCCCACACACTTAACTGTTTGCTTGTCCCCAAGCAAACCAAGTTAGACACAAGAAAAGCTCAAAACATTTTAACCATGCAAACTTTGAGGACATATCATAGAGTCACAAAACACGTGAATCATACTGGCTATTAGACATCAATACATGAACAACAGCAACAACAACCTAGACAACCACCACAAATGACATTCGAGTGCAACAAAATTGGGTATAGGAAGAGTCTCCCTTCTGTCCACCGACCAACATAGACTCGACTCAACCGCTCATTCAAAATATTCACCTCATGAATAAAATTCAAGACATCAGAATCAAGACCGAGCAATCTAGGTCCTCACTGAGTATATAATATGAAAAATGAATCACTCACTCTCGACCAGAGGGGTCAGGCTAAAATTTGATGCAAAATGTGTGCATACTCATACTCACAATCCCTCACGTCTCTTCACCATGACGGCAACTTCTAGATGCTAGAGTTCACATATCGGGTGTCACCACTAACTAGTCAGGAAGTCTTAGACACGGGTTCAGATGACTGGCAAGGGTCTTGGACATGGGGAAAAGGCCTTTTAGGTGGTGGAAAAATTCATAACACAAGGTTCCTGATAACGATGTATTTGCACATGTTTGCACCCTTAGTTCTTATCCGTTTGCGGCTCGTAGTCGTATATTTTTGGCCCGTTTTACGCTAGGTTGTGCTACTTTGTCATATTTCAGGTCCCAGACGTTGAAGGAAAGGCTAAGCATGAGATTCGGGGCATTTGGAGGTCATTCGGTCGAGTTGGGAGCAAAACACGGGCATGAGGCCTGAAGAACACGACCGTGTACACAAACGAGCACGCCATTGTTTTTTATGTGCGAGAGCTGAATTGACGGAAAAGCAAAACACGGGCTGGCCTTAAGAAGAAAACGGCCGTGTCCCAGGCCGTGGTTTTTATGCCGAGGCTTGATTGAAGGGAGCTCCTGCAATGTCTAAAGCACGGGCGGATGTGAAGCAAAACATGGCTGTGTCCATCTTTAGTCACGACCGTGTTTTGGCCGACGCGGGCGTGTTTTTAATATGTGGCGAGGGCACGGACGGGCAAAAGCAAAAAACGGTCGTGCCTTCGACCGTGTTTTGCCCAGTATCGACTTTTTGAGGCAGATTCGAGCCAAGAGAGAGGGAATCGACTTTTTGGGAGCAAAAACAGAGTTTTAGAGAGAGAAAGGGCGGATAACAAACCCTAGGAGCTATTTGGAGTGGATTTCTCACCATTG